GAGTCAATTCATTGTATAGTCAGACCACCAACTTGTTAGAGCAAAGATCAAAATTAATCTAAAGCTAAAAGAAAAACTAAAAACAAAAACAAAAATGTATAGCATGCCATCAAAACAATGTCAATTTGACCTACTTAAATAAGCCATTGCACATTGGAAATGGATGTAGGAAAGTACATTAGCACAGATAATGATCTGTGCTAGGACACTCAATTACCATAATGAGGAGACCAAAAGAGTTCCCCAACTACTTTAGTCAGTAGTTGACTTGTCAAAATGTCAATGGCAACACCGACTTAGAATGTAAAATGTTATAGAGAAAGATGATAGGTGACAATGAGTAATATCATCCCTTAAAAGAAGCAGTGGAAAGAAGAATCAGTTTAAAGAAAGTTTGGCAAAGTCACGCAGAAGGCATTTAAGGATGAAACTGGAAAAGTGACAACAAACACACTGGAAAAGATCTGAAAAGATATTAAAAACAAATTCCTTTTAACATTAAGAGCAGGGGAGTTGCAACATTTGGACTCAGTCCAGAATGTGCTTATAAAGAAAGTAGAAATAGTACTAAAAACAAAAAAAAACAAAGGTAAGAAAAGCAGCTGGACAAGACCAAATATAATTAGAGGAGGTCAATGCTGCAGGCAAGAGTTTCGAGAGCACTGACATCAATTAGTAAGATGTCTGAAGGAGAAGAAAATACCACAGTCATAGGAAAAAAATTCAGACCTTATCACTGCCAAAAAATCAAAAACAAAAATGAAAAAACAATGATCACCAGTCCATATGCCTACTTTCCCATCTTCTTACACACCACTTTGCTCCATGCATTTTATGCTCCACCTATACTGGTCTACTTTGTTGCTGTTCTTCGGTTGTTTCAGTTGTGTCTCACTCTGTGACCCCATTCGGGGTTTTCTTGGCAAAGGTACAGGAGTGGTTTACCATTTCCTTCTCTAGCTCATTTTACAAATGAGGAAATGGAGGCAAACAGGGTTAAGTGACTTGCTCAGGGAAGTGACAGTTGTTAGAAAGAAAGAAAGGAAGGAAGGAAGAAAAAAGAAAGAAAGAGAAAGGAAGGAAGGAAGAAAGAAAGTCAATAAAAGGTGCCTAGAAGCCAGACTATGATATACACTTGAATGGACAACCTATAGAGTTCATTCATGTGTGTGTGTCTTGGACACATACTGAAAGTGGAAAACAGGTTGGGCCCAGAAATCTACTGGAGGATAATACAGGCTAGATTGAGTACCTTTGAGGAATTATAGTGTTCCTTTAATGAGCCCAAGCTACTCTCTCACACAAAGGCCCATATTTTTAATTCCACCAATCTTCTGGTGTTATTACATAGTTTCGAGTCATAGAACATCACTGCAGTCTCTGAAGACTGAAACTGAAGCTCACTCAAAGGGGGATAGAGGGATGAGTGGGTGGGTGGGAGCAAAATGAAACCCATTATCTCTCCCCCCAAACACTCTCACTTTCCAAATGTCCCTATTAACTGACAAAGGTATCCTCTCTGTCACCCAGGCCTGGGACCCCCACCCATTCTCCCTATCCAATCCAGTGCCAGACCTTGTCATTTATATCTTCAAAGTCTGTCTCCTATCAGTCCCCTTCTGTCCACTCATCTAGCCACAGACTTGGCCAAGCCTTCATCATCTCTCCTCTGCAATACTGTAATAGTCTTCCACCTGGTCTCCCTCCCACACCAATCCATCCTCCACTCAGCTATTAAGATGGTTTTTCTAAATAGAAGGCCTGATGATGTCATCTGTCTGCTCAATGAGTTCCAGCTACTCCCTATTACTGATCTGTTATTGTTGTTCAGTTGTTTTCAGTTGTGTCTGACTCTTTGTGACCCCATTTAGGGTTTTCTTGGCTTTGCCATTTCCTTCTCCAGCTCATTTTTATAGATGAGGAAACCGAGACAAAGAGGGTTAAGTGACTTACCCAGGGTCACGAAGCAAGTAAGTGTCTGAGGCCAGATTTGAACTCAGAAAGATGAGTCTTCCTGCCTCCAGTTCTGGCACTCTATCCACTGTGCCACTTAGTTGCACCCTCTATTACTGACAGGATCAAATAAAATCCTCTATTTGGCCTTTAAAGACCTTTACAACCCAGCCCCTTCCTATCCTTCCAGTTTTCTTACACTTTACTCCCCTCCATGCACTCTGTAATCTAGCTACACCAGCCTGCAGGGCCTTCCCACCCTGGAACGTCCCTCCCTATGTTGGCCCTCTTCTCCCATTCCTGCAGCTTCAGTGGTATGGTGGATGGAGCTCCAGACCTGAAGTCAGAAGCCATAAGTTTGAGTCTGCCCTCAGACACTAGCTGCGTGACACTGGGCAAATCACTTAACCCCTCTCTGCCTCAATTTTCTCATCTGTAAAATGGAAATAATAATAGCACTTACCTCCCAGGGTTGTTGTGAGGATCAGAGATAATATTTGTAAAGTGCTTAGCACATATAATAGATATAATTTAATAAATGCTTATTTCTTTCCCCTACCAGGATCTCTGTTTTGGAGATGGGCCTAGGCCAGCCAGGCCTAATTCTCTTTCTAACTCAATAAATGCTTGTTCACTGACTGACATTACAAACAAGGCGTTACAAAGGAGAAACAGTAGAGAATGTGACAAAATGATATGGTCAGGCTGTGAGGAAAAACTGACCAGCAGCCTTTGTGCCTTATAGTATTTTTGTGCTGTTAGGAGAACTCTAGAAAGGCCCTTGGATCACTGGTGGTGATGGTTCCCTTGTGTTGAATTCTGGGGAGAACACGTCCCAGCGTCACTTAGGTATAGGCAAGCATGGATAGGTTGCAATCTGCATTATTGAAGGGAATTCCCATATCAGTGAGGTCACAAATCCACTTGAGTCTTTGAAATATAAAAAGCTATTATTATAATAATTATATCTGCCTTGGACACCTTCTACTTCCCCAATTGCTATCCCCTTTCCCCTTGCTCCCTTTGCTCAGATTGAGGCCTCAATCATCTTGAGTCTCATTGGAAGCCTTCCATGACCACTACTCTCTTCCTTATCTGAGCTCTAAGAGTCCCAAGACCGCCCGTGGCTCTTAACACTTCCATCTAAGCCCACGAACGCCCTTTTTGCCCTTCAGGGTCCAGCTCAAGTCACAGCTCCTCCAGAAAGCTTTCACTGATTCCCTCTGAGTTGAAAAATGTTCTTCCCTTCCTATTTTTCCTAGAGCTTTGTGGAACCCTTAGTAACTTGTAAATGCTACTGAGGGCATTTTTTTCATCCTTGTACTCTCAGCCTAGAGTTAAGGGTTTTACACAAAAAAGATGTTAATTTTTTTTTTTAATTATCCCTGGCCTCTCGTTTTGGTTCTTTGGGACCTTCCTCCTCAGATACCATTGTGAGCTCCATAGTTAGCTGAGGGCTCAGTCTCTGCTCCTCCTTACAGCTCTCCCAGGCAAGCATAATAAGAACATATACACACACACACACACACACACACACACACACACACACACACATACACACATATAAAATACATGCACATATACATATCACTTTATATATAAATATATCCATATTTATATATTTATATGTCACATTACATAAAAATACCCATATTCTTTCACTTTATATTTTGAAATCCTATTTATATATGAATATATCCATATTTATATTTATATATCACTTTATATATAAATATGTCCATATTTATATATAAATCCATCCATATTTATATAATTATATATAAATGTATCATTTTAAGGTCCACAAATCACTTTACATTGAATCCTCTCAACAACCCTGGGAGGTGGGTTACTATCTCCATTTTACAGCTGAGGAAACTGAGGCAGGCAGAGGTTAAGTGACTTGCCCAGACAGGGTCCCCACCCTCAAGGAGTTTACAATCTCAGATCTGGAAGGGGCTTTAAACACCAGGGCCTTTATTCTAACAGAGGGCATCTCTGCCCGAGGTCACCTTGGTAAGGGAAGCCAGGTGTCTTGGCTCCCAGTCCAGAGCTCTTTACCACATGGTATGACCTTAGGGAACCCAAGAAGTCACCCTTTCCTTCTTCCCTCACGCAACCCTGCTTCCTAACACGCGAGGCTATCTAGCCAGACACCCACACCTTAGTGGAAATGGATTTGTCAGGCTATTTCCTGAATGCTCTTGTGAATGGGGGGTGGGGGTGGGGGAAGGGTAGGAGCCCCGCTTTGAGAGGCGCTTTGGGGAGGGGAGCTACAGCAAGGAACCCTCTGCAGAAAACCGTGATCTGAAAGCATACTTTGGTCCGTTAAAGAACACTTTGGAATCAGGAAAAAGCTGGGTGGGCTGTGACACTGAACAGCCGTGGAACCACGTACTGACATTCATTTTCCTTCTAACCAGCTCTACCAACTTCTTAGGATGGCTGGGAGTGTCAAATGAGATGATTATAAAAAGTTTTGTACACCTAAAGCGACAGAAAATACTAGTTATTATTGTTATTATTATTATTATTATATTAAACCACGCCCTCAGCCCTAGGCTCAGTTAGTGGGGACTCCCCCCACCTACACTTCACAGCTAAGGATTAAATCCGCCCCAATCCCTGGCCCCGTGCTGCCGCCCCACCCGTTCTAGCCCCGCCCATGGACCCACCCCGCACCATTCCCCGCCTCTGATCCCGCCTCCCTTCCAATTGCCGTGGCTGATTTCGTCCTGGCCCGCCCTCAAGCCAATCCCCACCTGCGATCGTCCCTTCCGCTCCTTCCCCGCCTCCGATTTACCTCACTCATTCCTCAATCCAATCTCCGCCTCTTGTCCCGCGCTCTGGACCCGCCCCCAGGCCAATCCCCGCCTCCGGGCCAGCTCCCGCCCAGCCCCACCCCGCCCCGCCGTCGCGGCCGCTGCTGAGGAGCCGGCGCCGCCCGCAGTTGCTGGGAGCTCCCCACACGAGCGCGGTCCGCCGGGTCCGGGCAGAGCGCGCGGAGGCGGGACGGAACGGTACGGGGCCGGGCCGGGGCCAGGCTGGGCCGGGCCGGCGGGATGGGGTGCACCGTGAGCGCCGAGGACAAGGCGGCGGCCGAGCGCTCGAAGATGATCGACAAGAACCTGCGGGAGGACGGCGAGAAGGCGGCGCGGGAGGTGAAGCTGCTGCTCCTCGGTGAGGCTGCGGGCCTGATCCCCGGATGGGTCCTGGGCCCGCCCCCGGCGCCCCCCCACCCCGCCTCGTCCACGACCCCCTGCGCCCCGCGCCCGCCAGCCCCGCGCCCCCACATCCTCCAAGCTCCCCGAGGGCGGGCACGGTCCCCCGGCTCTGCTTAGCCCGCTGCCTAGCACGTAGTAGACGCTAATCAGTGTTTATTGATTGTCGGAGGTCTGCTCTCCCACTCCGTGGGGTCCCCAAGCCCACCTTGTCATCCCATGTACCCCACCTTGGAGCCCCTGAAACTCTTGGGTTCCCAAGCCAATGGTGACCCCATACTCTAGTCCCTCAAAACCTCCACCCCTTATTGCTTATTACCTCCCCCCAAAAACCTGCCAAACCCCGACCTGCCCTCATACCTGTGGTGCATCTCCTACCAGTATTCTCAACCCAAGTCCCCAAACCCTGGCGTCCAGCTCCACCCCCAAATCCTAGTATCCCTCCCTCATTTATACCCCAAACCTCCAGTATCCCACCATCTTTAGCCCAAACCGCGCTGAACCCCTATCTCTATCGGCAAACCCCTGGCATCCTTATCCACACTTAAACTCATTTCTGGCCCCAATCCTTATCTCCCTATTTACACCCCTAAACCCTAGTACCCCCAAGCCTTATAAGGCCCTCCGAAACGAGTGCTTTCCTTTCTGCAGTCTCAAACCTACTCTCCATCTCTACCTCCACCGCATCCCCATTCTCTCCTACTGTTCCCCAATTTCACTGTTACCTCTCTAAATTCCATTTTTACACTCCAGTTTTTCCCAAATCCCTGGCCTCCTCGTTAGACCTCCAGAACCCCTCCATCTCCAGTCCACTGCTCCTGAAGCCTTGTTACCCTGCTCAAGGCTCCCCAAAATGACCCTTATATCTTCAGACTTTTTTTTTGCCCTCCTTTGAGGGGGGAGAGAGGTCTTCTTCTTAAACTGCCCCCCCACCTCGTTAAGCCTGGGCACCTTGAAATCCTACCAGCCCCTTCTTCCTTCTCCAGACTCCTTCTGGCTTCCCTTTTGCCCCCTTAAGAGACGCCCCCCACCCTAGGCCACCTGGCCTTTGCCTATCCTCAGGTTTCACTTACCCCCCCATCACCAGGCTTTCCACGTCACACTGCACTCCCCCCAATACCATTCGCATCTAGCCTGGCCCACCCCCCCCCCACCCCCTAGTGTCTCCTGCTAGTGTTCAGCCTGCTGTCGGCCCGGTCTTTCCGCTATCTCCCCACCCAACCCCACCCCACCCCTGGGGCAGAGATGTAGAGCCGAGTGGCTGCCTCCTGGGCGCGAAGTGTGGGTGGATTTCCCAAGGGGGGGGTGGAGGGTGGAGGGAAAGCTGGGAGAATCAAAGGCTTTTTCCGACACCCCCCCTCCCCAGGTTACGGAAACGCCCTGGACTGGAGAGGAGGGCGGGGTGTGTGTGTGTTGAGGGGGGGAATAGAGAAGTTCCTCTTGGTGGTGGGGAGGGGGGAAGCTGCCGGGCCGCTGGGGGCTGGGGCTGCCTCCGCCTCTCGGGCCTCGTTCCGCTTACTTTGAGCTTTGGAGTTTCGAAGTGTCTCCCCCCCCCGCCCCTCCCTCTAAGCTGGGGGATGGGGGGGGCCGGGCCTCTTCCTGGCGCCCCAGGGTGCGTTCTCGTCCCTCTGCCACCCCCCAAGTGCCTGGGCCAGGGGGCGGAGGAGTTTGTTTGAATCCTTGGAAAAGGGGATTTCGACTTTTTTTTTTTTAATCTGCTTCCAGCCCCTGGGGAAAATGGTGGCGCAGGGGGAAGGGGAAGGGGGTGGGGAGGGACGGACATGTTGCTGTCCGGGAACTGGAGGCAGCTTCGACTTCCCCTTTTCACAGTCCGCGGGACAGGCGGGGTGACTGGGGAGAGAGCCCCGCGGGGCCCCGGGCGGCTGTGCGTCCTAGTGAATGCCCAGGGCTGGCGCAGGGTGGGTCCTATAAACGAGGCCCCACGGGGCTCCAGGGGGGCTCTGGAGCTGATGGGGAAGGCCAGTCTTTACCTTAGAGTTAAGAAAGTCTGGTGGTGCCGTGCTAGCTGGTACCGCTCCCCTCCCCCATCCTCACCCCATCCCCCAAAAAAAAGAAGCCCGGAGGGAGAAAAACAAAGCGGCTGGGCCGAGCCTAGGCCACTCCTCTGGGGTTTGCCTGAAGGGCCAGGAAAACAAACCCCTGGTGGGGTTGGACGAATTTGTGATCCTGGGGGACTGGCATCTGACTCTTGGGAACTGTGGAAAGGAAATAGCCCGAACCCAGGGAGGCCTAGGCCTTGGGCATTAGGAAACCCTCTGAGGATCCTGTGTGGGGCAAAATCGAGATGGGGTGGGGGATGGGGGAGGGATTCTCCACCTTGTATCTCTTGGTTTGTGTGGTGTTTTTTATCACTGATGAAATGTTCTGACGTGGAGAGGGGAGGAAATTGATGTACCCAGTACTGTGTGTGTGCTCTGGGGAAGGCTGAGGCCAGCTGTTTATGGGAGGGCAGGGCAGGGCACAGCACAGCACAGCTCTCTGAACAGTTAGAAGCTGCTTCCTGTGCCTGGTTGTGTTCCTGAGAGGTGGGTGGAAGCTCTGTGTGGGCTGGTCCCAAGCTGTGTAAGCCTTTCTCCACATTCACTTTGTCCTTCCCCTTGTCATGGGCTCACCTCAAGCCAAGTAGCAGGTGAATTATTGTCCACGTTTCAGCTTGAAGCTTTCCCTGGCAAGGAGTGCTGTTTTCTTCATAACGACTTCATTCCCCTTTGAGACCCCATTCTCCTTTACACCCTCAAATGGTATTGCCCTTGCCTGGCCTTCCTTTTTGAGAACGAGAGAGTGTAGGGACAGCAGGGTCTAGGGTTAGGAGGGGGAGAGGGGCACTGCCTGACTCGGAGATTCTGAGCCCACAATGCTGGACTGGGCTGCCTTCTGATCTGCCCCCTCTGAGATTTTTTAAGCAGGAATAAACTGGATTTTTTTTTCTTCTTCCTATTTTTTTTTAAATAGCAGCTGTTCAAGTGTAAATAGTGCTGAAGTCTTGAGATATCTTATTCCCCTAGTTTGAAGCCAGAAATGGCTTTGGGCTCCCCTTCAGATGGTTGTAAAATGAGACAGTTTTTCACAGGGGAAGATGGGAGAGCTGCAAGCTGGCGGCACCCATCCTCTTTTCTGGATGATGACTAATTAGAGGTGCTATTAGAGGTGGTAATTTAATTTCTGGGCACATGCATCAGTTTTGGGGTAATTACAGCCTTATGCTAACCTCCAGCAAAGCCATTCATTGGACTTGTGGGTTTAAGGATCGTGGCCATCACCTGTGACTCTCAGAGAGAATGACTGACCAGGGAGACTTTGGGAAGACTAGACTTTTTCAAGATGGCAACTAAATGAAAGAGAAGGGCTTGCAGAGCCCAGCTGTGCCTCCCACCCGCCTCTCAGTGCTGCTTTACCCTTGTCCTAACGTGCTGTCTTGTGTCTAGCAGGGTATGCTAGGGCAGAGAGGCATACTTTTATGGTTCTTGGGTTCTCAGAGTTTTCTGAGAGAGCAACAGCTTCCTGGCTGGCAGGAGGAAGCAAGCAGCAGAGAATGTGATAGCAGAGTGTGGGGCAGCGTGGGGAGGTCTTAGCAGCCAGTGTCTTTGAAAGCTGCTTGGCCCTCAGGTTTGGACGTGACCTCCAGGCTAGCAGAAACTTGAGCTGGATCTTGATGTCTCCAGAGTGTCATTTGTGGAGTTGGTTTTTAAGGTGGCTTTGATGGAAGGGATCTGCCTGTATGTCTATGTTGGCTCTCCAAAGGCTGAAGCGCCCTTACCCTACTGAAAGATTTTATTGTTGGAGGGCTGGGGCTGGGAATCTTACTCTGAGTTTCTCCTGACTGGTTTGGGGGGGGGGGGGGGGGGAAGCCCAGAGGAAGGAAAAGAGCAGAGCACAGAGCTCAACTATCCTCTGTCCTGGGAAGTCTTTCCCGCAGCTTTCTCCTTTATCCATTTCTGTGACCCTTATCCCTTTCTTTCCCTCTCTTCCTGGCAGTGCCAGCCGCTCTCTAGCCTATGTGTCTGCCATTGGGGTCCAGAGCACCCTCTCTGATGGATCCTCCTATGGGGGCATTTTTTTCAGGCACATTGGTAAGAACTATCATTCCTCTAGTGCTTTTAAAGTTTACAAAGCACTTTCCCTACAGCAACCCTGTGAGGTAGCTAGTGTAAGGATTATCAGCTCCGTTTTACTGATAAGGAAACTGAGTCTAAAGTCTGTGGTCACCCAGCTAGTAAATGTTATCTCTGGGATCAGAACTCAGGTCTGCCCTGAGGCTAGGGTATTTGCCACTATGCCTCACTTTCTTTCTCAGTGCTTAATAATAAGTGCTTTAATTCAGCAAATATTTATTAAGAATCTCCTATATGGTAGACACTCTACCAGGTGTTGGAGATGCTGTTCCCTGTCCTCAAGGTGCTCATAATCTACCCATGCTCTGGTCCTAGGTGTGTGGTGAAGTACCCTGTTTTACCGTGGAGGTCCCTGACGTTCACAGCTCACCAAAGTGAGTTCAGGACTCCTGACGTCAAGGCTAGTGCTCTTTGCAAAAGAGAAGGCAGCCTTCCCAGGGTTCTCAGCGTGTTCCCTTCTGTAAACATGTATTTTGTAAGGCCCTGTGCCCATTGCCTGGGAGAGAAAGATGAAATAGCACAGCCTTTGCTCTCAAGGGGCTTATAGTCTAATTTGGTGCAAGGCAAACACATGAGTAACTGGCACCAAGATGCTGGAGAGGAGTACACACACAAATGGGATCATGGAAGAGTCCTAGCCAAAATCCTTAAGGTTCCCCCCCCTTCCGAGCCTTGTTGAGCTAAAGCAGCCAGCCTTTAAGAAAGGGAAGTCTGGGGGCTCTGGGACAGGCCTGTACCTCCCCTTTGGAGAATTTGGATTTGTTGATTGGGGAAGGAGGATGATACCCTGGAGGGCCATGAGTAATCAGCTAGGTGGCTCAGTGGA